AGGCAACTTTAACTATTTCGGTAGCCACATGAAAAAGTTGAAAAGAAACAGGCAAAGCTTATGTTAATACTATAGCTTAGTTAATCCAACATATCCAAATATTACTATTTCAACACAAAAGCGAGTAAGGTGTTTTACTTCCTTTTTCGGTTTTGGTACTACATCTTACCCACGGTGCACGGTACACTCACAGCCCCTGCGTTGGGCCTGGCCACATTTTCAGTGTTCAATAGCTCCACGTGGCTCATGGCTGCCTTGTGGCCACGTGCAGATTCAGACTTCAGTCAGATGCCACGGGGCTCCAGGCAGCTCCATCCAGTGCAGGAGATCAGGTAGTGTATCTTCAGCCTGGAGACTCGCTCCATGCCACTGCCACATGAACCTTCAGTGTGGCCCTGTGTCCCTCTGGCCAGAGCAAAGGAGGGTCCCAAGAGCCAGGAGACACGGCGTCAGGGCTCACAGATCAGGCCCCCTGCAGGCAGGGGTCCCCCCAGTTCAAGAGGGAAGAACAGTGCCGTAGCCCCAGGCTGCTCTGGGACTGACAAGCCCTGTGTCACTTTCGTCCCCAAAGTCTTACTTGCTGAGGGTGTCAGGGGGGCTGGACTGCCTGCTCAGTGGCAGAGCTGATTTCCCTCTGTGTGGCTCCTTCTCTCATCATGGGCCCAATCCACGAACCACACCTGAGGAGCTCTGCTGGAGGGACAGCGCAGGGCACAGGCAGACGAGGGGAGCGCCACGCGGCTGCTTCTCACAGTGAGCACCTGCCAGCAGAGGTTATTGGTGGCGGAGGGTGGGGGGGGCGCACCAGCGTACTCTTCTGTAAAAGTGTTTCAAAACGAAACCTAAACGTCATGGTTCAGCTCGGTCCCAGCCCATTGAAAGTGCTGGCGTGAGTGGAGGTCTCTCGGAGGGGCATCGCGGGGCCTCCCACATCACCCAGACTCTGAGGATTAAGACACAGGGTCCATGAGTGAGCGCGCTTTGGGAAAGGCTGTTCTCCATCTGCGTTTTGAAGGTGCCGTGTGGCACCTCACACGCCTGCCCCGAGGAGACTCCCGATCTGGTCACTTTGTGTCTTTGTCACTTTCCATGTGGCAGCTGTTGTCCTGGCTGCTGCTGCACCTCAGTGTCCTCATGGGTTAAGCGGGGATCTGGGTGCTGGCCTCGGGCCTGCAGTGGTGGGCGGCTGGTGCGCACCGGGTGTGGGGTGAGGGCACAGAAAGGGAATGGCCTTTGTCATTATTACAAGGTTTTCCATCTCACATTCTCCACCTGCATGCCACGTTGGCACAGTTAAGCCTGGCGGCCTCTTCAGCAGGCGTCCTAACCATCCACATTGTAAGGTGGACAAGTCCAGGCTCATGGAGGTTACAGGACTGAGCTGTAAAGTTTTATTTATGCCCAACACGACAGGTTCCCGGTGCCCAGGGCCTCGGATGTGGGTGGGTTTCCAGCGTTCCTCAAACAGCCTTGAACTTGCGGCCCATTCCTGGACTTCACAGCCCAGGCCACACTCTCAGTGTCTGTTGGGAATCCATCATTTCCTACAGAGTCACGCGCGATGTTTGCTGTGACTTTTGGCACGTCTTCCACTCTGTTGCGTGGCATTTTCTGGCGAAAGTGCCCTCTGGTGCACACAAACGCACACGCTCTACCATAGCTTCGGTTGTTCTGTTTGGCATTTCTTCATTTAACAAAATGAACCTTAAAAAGTGTGTAACTTCTGGCTGGGCACAGTGGCTCATGCCTGTAATCCCAGCACTTTGGGAGGCTGTGGTGGGAGGATCACTTGAGGTCAGGAGTTCGAGACCAGCCTGGCCAACATGGTGAAACCCCCTCTCCACTAAAAATACAAAAATTAGCTGGCTACCATGGTGGGCACCTATCATCTCAGCTACCCAGGAGGCTGAGGCAGGAGAACTGCTTGAACCCGGAAGGAGGAGGTTGCTGTGAGCTGAGATTACGCCACTGCACTCCAGCCTGGGCGACAGGGTGAGACTTGGTCTCAAAAAAATAAGAAGTCTAGGACTTTACCTTTTTTTCTCTTTTTATGGAGATGGAACCTTGCTATGTTGCCCAGGCTGGTCTCGAACTCCTAGGTTCAAGCGATCCTTCCACCTCGGCCTCCCAAAGTGCTGAGGTGGCAGGTGTGAGCCGCGGTGCCCAGCGAGCTCGGGACTGACTCGGGCCGACTCCGAGGCAGCTCTCTGCCTCTCCCTAGTGGCAGTACTCTGCTGGTGCACCTCAGGTCCTCCCGAGTGACCACGGGGCAGGTGAGCTCCACGCTTTCCAAATATCCTCACCCAACACCCAGGGCCATCCCCTGGGGCTGTGCTATTATCCTGCTTTACAGATGAGGAAGCTGAGGCTCAAAGAGGTCAGGTGGCTTAGCCAGGCTCACCCATTCATTGCGCCAGGGCTGCATGATTCCTGGTCTGTGTCAAACCCCGAGGCGCCACCTCCCCTCGGGACCGGGAGGGCCTGCAGAGCTGATGCTATCCAGCCTGGTCACTTTTCAGACAGGGAGACGGCTTCCCAGAGGGGAGAAGGGGCTTTCTGGGTCACTTTGCCAGTACTCAATACCATGGCCAGCCTGGCTTCAGATACTTTGCCAGGAGTTAATGCCGCGGCCAGCGTGGCATTGGATATTGGAACTGTTCCCAGCTCCACCCAGGCCCTTTTCTCTTCCCTGCCCACAGTCCCCAGGCCACCAAGTCCGTGCCTGTCACCGAAATCACCACTCAATGCTCAGGAGTCTTGCCTGAGTGACGTGTGAACCCCACGCACCGGGGCTTTGCCCCCGGGCACTCTCCTGGGTCCAGCTCCTCTTTCTCCCAGGGCACCTGAGGTTGCCTCCCCGGCCTGGCTCTCCCTAGGCCCTAGCCCTAACCCTCACCTGCGGAGCCTTTGGGGCCCAAACTGGTGCATCTCTCCTGGCTGAACAGCCTCTGTTCCCATACTTCCAGACATCACCCACAAGTCCCTTAGCAGGCCCACAGGGCCCACACCAGCCCACAACCACTGGCCTCTCACCCCTCGGAAGCCTCATGCAGACTGCACTTCAGCCAGAAATGCTCCTTCTCCTCCTGCCTGTCCCCAGCAGGCACTGCACGGTGCCCTCTGCATGGGCACATCTGTGGCCGGCCAGCATCCACATTCCCCTGGGTAGAGGCTGGGCCTGCTTGTCTCACGGCCACAGCCCAACTCCCAGCAGTGCCTGGGGCACAGCAGGGGCTCAGCAGACATCTGTCCATGGTTTGGGGACGGAGGACTCATGGGTTTACCAGGGCCCCCTCTGCAGCTCAAGGAAACTCATCAGTTCCTCCTGCATCTTCGGGGACCTGCAGTCCCAGGATTCTGTGACATTGGCATCAGCTTCGAGCTTTCTGCTTTCCCTAGGGCTTTTACCATCTTGTATGTTAAGTAGTTGGCTCCATGATTCCAGAAAAATGTTCTCTGAGACCTGCTGTGTATCCAACATGCTTGAAGACTCTGGAGATGAGGCGCACGACACTCCTGTAGGAACGAGGCTGCTGGCAGTGCCGCCAATGTGTCCCATGCCAGGGGGAGGCCTGGTGTGGAGGGCATGCTTGCCACCCTGAGGTCAGGTTCAGGAAGCCCTTGCAGGAGGCTGGGGACAGGTAAGGCTATCACCCCTTTTACAGGGGAGGAAGCAGAGGCTTGGAGAGGCCAGGTAGCTTGCCCAAGGCTGTACACCTGGGGGTAGCCAAGGGTTCTGGCTTCTGAAAGCTTGCAGCACAGCTGGACACACAGCATTGGTTCCGTTGCTGGAACCATCTTACTTGTGCTCTGCTAGCCAGGTGGACGCCCACAGGGAGATGCCTTTGCCTGTGCTGGGAGGAGGCACTGTGGGACCCATCTACCAGCAGCCCAGAGCAGGGGCACATCTGCCAGGGCAGGGATGCACCTTCGGCCCCATGTCAGCCCTGGGAAGGCCCGGACGGCAGATTCTGGAAAGGCAGGCCCGGACGGCAGGCCCCAGGGAAGGAGGGCCCGGATGGCGGACCCGGGGAAAGCCTGGACAGTGGACACTGCTGTCTTGCTCCACACCCGCGGTGAGCACACGAGGCTCAGATGTGAGAACATGGGAAGGGGTGGCATCATGGCGGGCATGTTTGCAGATCCTATGCTGTGTGCTTGGCAGACCTTGCCCATGGAAGCCAGTGGGTCTGAGGCTCCCTCCATGCTGCCCACCATGACCCTGGGGTCTGGCCTTACCCTCACGGGAGTGACTTCCTCTCCTCCATAAGGGTAAGGAGAGGAAGCCTGGCCCACCCTCTGGCCAGCCTGGTGGCATGTTAACCGAGACGCCTTATTGCAGGGGCCTGATGAACAAATGCCACAGAACGAATGCTATGGCCCCTGTCTCCAGGTGTGCTTCCGATCCCATGATTCCATTCTCTCGACCCCGTTTCCTCCTCCTCCAGGAAGCACTCTGTTAGTTCTTTCCACCTCAGAGGCCTTCGTATGTTTTTTTGCCTGGACCACCCGGCCAACCCTGTCTCACAGAGACTGCCCCCCTTCCTCTCTCCAGGCCAAGCCTCCAGCTTCAGTGTTCAGGACTAAGGGTCTGTGTCAGAGGCTGAGCACAGTGTCCGGCGGCGGGGACGCTATGCCTGCCCCTTATACTTCCATGAGCCCCCAGACAATAGCCACTGCTATTATATGCCAGGTAGGAAAGAGGGTCAGAGGCTCACGGGGAGGGGCTGTCCTTCGTTTGCTGAGACACTGCTCCCCAGGGGCTCCCCAGAGGACCGCCACTTGTCAGCAAAGCGCCAGGTCCACTGGGCAGCCTCCGGCACATCAGGGCCCTGTAGTAGAAGGCTGTACGCACGGGCTAGGGAGGCTGAGTGCCTGCCTGGAGACCAGCATGGTCCAGCGGAAATACAACAGCCTCACATTTTCTAGCAGCTATGTGGAAAACAAGAGACAGGTGAAATAGATGTTAATAGTATTTTGTTTAATACCTCCAAGATAGCCATTTTAATGTGCAATAAAAAATGATGGATTAGATAGCTGTACCCCTGACAAGCCAGCACGTAGTTGACACTTAGAGCACAGCTCAGGCACAGCATGCACCAGCAGCCGCCGCACTGGACGGCACGGCAAATGGGAGGAGCTGAGTGGACAGAGGCACCAAGGACACGCTGTGTGTGACCAAGGCTGTGAAGACGCAAGGGCAGAGGGTTTCCTGGCAGGGCCTGGACGCACACGAGCCTGTCCGGTGTGCTCTGCATAATGCGGTACAGCAGTGGCCACGGAGTTTTGCACCAGGTGCTGATTCTGGCCTACCTAGGGGGGCTTCAGGGAAGTGGTGACTTTTGTGTCCAGCCTCCAGGTGTGAGCAGGGCAGAGAATGGGAGAATGGAGAAACCAGTGGATGCTGCAGCCAAAGGCAATAAAGCTCCACCAGGAGCGGCGATGGCCACCATGGACAGGACCCCTCTCAGCACTGGCAGGAGGCCCCTGCGGCTCGCAGCCATTCACCTGTCGCCATGCGCCCCCACCAGGCCTGATGTCCTGGCACACACATCAGCTGCACCATCTCAGCCCTGAAGTGTTTAGGTGCTTATGATGCTCTATCTTAGCGGCCAGGACCTGATGCTCAGGGACTAGGCACACAGCGTCTCAGGGGCAGGCCAGGCCTTCAGCGGAACAGTCTATAGCCCAGAGGCTGGACAGGCTCAGGAACCCTCTACTCCACACCCGGCCACAGACTGCCGAGAGCTATGTCCGTACACTCCTAGGATTAGGGAGAGGAGGGGAAGAAAGACAGCCAACCCCTTGCAGGCGATATGGTGCCCCACGCCCCTAGGAGCCACCAGAAGCTGCTTTTTAACATCCCTGCCCTGGGGCTCCTGCCCTGGGGTCCAGAGACCTTCCATTTTATGCTTAGGGCAGGTTGGTTTCTGCAGCTATGGCCTCTGCAGTTTAGAGCCCACCTGAGTGGGACCACAGGGTTCCAGAGGAACCTAGAGGGTCGAGTTCTGGGCTCCTGGCTCTTGGGTTCTTTGAACTCAACTTATACCCACCTCTGCGTTCCCCTCTTTGGGAAGGGCTAATAATGATACCTCCCTAAGCGGAGGCTGCAGAGCGCCTGGACCACGGAAAGATCGGGGCAGTGGGGCTGGTGTCACTGCCGCCTCGCCCAGCGGGGCTGGGGCTGCGCCCTACCACGTGTTCCCTAAGTCTGTTCAAACAGGTCAGGAATCTGACTCCTGCAAGGCAAATGTTAGCTGAGCAGAGTGGCCCTAGTGCCACGTCAGCCGGGCAGAACCTCTCCCGGCACCGCCTGGGGCTCTGCTGGCGTGGCACAGGTATCGGTCTCCCGCCCCGCTGGGGACCAGGGTGGCTCCCAAAGGGAGGACCTCAGCCGCTGCTGGGAGCTCAGCCTCGGCGATGCCCTCGGGCGGGCACTCCCACCACGGCGCCTGCCCTCTGGAAGGAGCTGCAGAGGAATGCCGCGGCTCTTCCCGGCCCTCGCAAGGTCGGCGTGCAGGTGAGTGGGCCGTACACGGATGGCCGCTTCCTCACCCGCCCAGCCTCCCTGGGCTCCTCCGGAAAACGAGGGCACAGGTGACAACGCCCACCGCGCCCTGCGATCTTCCGCGGGGGGCGGCGGCGTGGATGCTGCCAGGCCGTCGCAGGGGCGGGAGCACCCACCCGCCTCGCCCCGCTGCAGGGTCGCTCCGGGGGCCCGAGCGCCCACTCACCGCCAACGTGCACTAGGCCAGGGCTGGGACCCCAGGGCCCCGTGGGGCTGGCGGCCGAGGAGACGGAGCCAGAAAACCGCGCCTCCCCGGCAGGACTGCGGGGCCGGGGCCGGGGTGGGCGTGGGAGGACCCGGCGCGGTACTGGCGCGGGGCCGAGCTCGGGGACGCGGAGCCCGCGTGTCCTTCTGGGGGCGTCGGCGAAGACCGGGCTCCGCGCGGCGGCCAGGCATCTCTTCCCTGCCGGGGCCTCTGTGGAGCGAACGGCCTGCGGAGGATGCGCCGGGGAAACCCCGGGACGCCGGACAGGCACTGACGGTCGCCCGCGACCAACTTCCGGCGCCGCTGGGGGCCCGCGACCGCGCCGTCGCCAGGCAACCAGCACGCAGGCGCAGTCGGCCCTTGGCGGCCCGCAGCGCCTACCGCCCTCGGCGCATGCGCCGCCGCCGCCGCCTGCCTTCCAGCCTCCCGGCCCAACGGAAGAATGAGAGGAGCGCGCCCGCGTGAGGGCCCCGCGCTTCTCAGTGAGGCAGAGCAGCCGTTCTCGGTGCGTGAGCCTGCTGGCATCGGTCCTGCAGACTGATTTCCCCCTTGTGGCCTTGACTGAAGAATCCCATCTCTTCTCACATCTTAAAACGAAAAAAGACTGGGAGAAAGAGCCAGCGTAACCAAGGCGACGTCCCGGGGCGGCCCCGGCGCGTCCGGCGGGGCAGGTGGCGAGGGGCGGGGCCACGCGGTGCGGCGGCGGACGGACGCCGGCGGGGGGCGGGGCCACGGGCCGGGAAGGCCGACCGGGGGCGGGGCCAAAGGGGAGGGAACCGCAGGACACGGCGGGGAAAGACGGGCGGGGGGCGGGGCCAAGGGGGCGGGACGGAAGAATGAGGCGGGGAAGAACGGACGCCGGCGAGGGCGGGGATAAAGGGGGCGGGACAGCGATGAGGCTGAGGGGGACGGACGCCGGCGAGGGCCGGGGAGGCGGCCTGGGCCGTGGCCGGCTGGATGAGAACGCGTCCGGGCCGCCGAGTCGAGGGGCGGGGCCGGGGGCGGGGCGCGCGCTGCTGTCGCAAGACGGACACGTCGGCGGCGCGGCGGCCGCGGAGACCGGAGCCGGATGTGCCAAGATGGCTGCGGTGGTTGCCGCGTCTGCGCTCGTCGTTGGCGCCGGGTGGGCTTTCGCCCGCGGCTCCTGAGGGGCCGGTCTCTGCCGCGCGGGTGAGGGGCCGAGCGCGGGAGGACGAAGGCGGAGGCCGGCCGGCGGAGCCAGGCGGCGGAGGGGAGGCGGCGGGGCCCGGCCCGGAGCGGGCGGCGCAGCTCGGGTCCCGCCGGGGCCGGGCGAGGGGACAGACCCCCGGGTCCGCGGGCCGGAGCGGACCGGAGCGGGCGGCCGTGGGTCTCGAGGGACCGACGTGGACCTGGCTGGGCTGCGGCGGCGCCGGTCCCCGCGGCGGGAGGCTCATCCTAGGCACCCCCGCCAAACCCCAGCTTTTCGGATGAGCGTGTCTTGTCCTTAGCGCTGCTGGTGAAGAGGGACTTAGGTTGGAACCAAGGAGCAGAGTCGCATGTTTGTCGTTTCTTGATGGGGCGGTCGGGGTGTTGCGACAGAGGCCGAGGGTCAGAGGGGCGTGTGTGATCCGGCTCGCCCCTTTGTGATGGAGCCTTCAGAAACGTCACGGCCGTTGAAAGTCGATTTTTGCTGCTTCACTTAAGGACACTTGTCAGTGGCTTGTAGGTTGGGTGTGGATTGTGCATGAAGATTGCGTTTTCCGTGTAGGATGCCGATGTTGACCGAAGAGGTGTTTCCCATCCCCCCTGTGGCGGTACGAAGCCAGCAGAAGCGCAGACAGTTCTTCCCAGAGTGATACTTCGGCAAGTTTCGGCACAAAGCAGCCTAGCTGCATTTTCCCCCGTCTCCTTTCTTAGGGTTCCGGTGCTGGGATCTGGCAGAAAAGAGTAAAAGTAGCGTCGCTTTCTTGTTCCCTGTTCCTCGCTTACTCTTAAATAGTGGGTACATTTTTTTCTTTCTTTTCTTTTTTTTTTTTTTCTGTCAAACCTGGCGAGAGGCCTTGGTAGTGGGTAAATGTCAATATGATTTCTTCTTCTGTAAATATCTTTCATGAATACTAGGGTGTCCTTTTGGGTCTTGGTCGTTTTCAGCAGTACTAGGCTGCTGGCTGCCTCTGCCGCTGGCTTCGTCTTCAACACCTAACTGTATGTGGTTGCGATTCTAACTTAGAAGAGTTGGAGTTTACCGTGTCTTTGTGTTAAGCGTCCCATAGTCTGACAGGGAGTCACTAGCTGCCACCGTAAGGGAGACTGTGGGCAGCAGGTGAGCTCAGAGGCTTCCTGGAACACTCTTGTTTTCCTCACCTAAAATGTGAGGCCAGTGGCAGCGAGAGCAGGGTGTGCGCGTGTTTACCTCAGTTCTGTAGCCAGAACTCTACTAAAAAGAGTTTTGCTTAGGTGTGCATATGTACAAGGCAGTTTAACTGACTAGCTAGGTTTATGAATACTGCATCTTCAAGATCAGGTGGCCTCTTTGAAACAGTGGAAGAGTTAGATGACTTGACTAAGATCCCTTGCAGCGGTGACATAGGTGATAGGCAGTGGCATTGCTCTCTCCTGGTGAGTAGAGAAAAAGATAAAAATCAGTTTAGGTCACAAGATTGTTCCAAATGAAATTGGCGAGTTGCTAAAAAGCTCTCATTTAGGGAGCATGAGGGTTAGAATGCTCCTTTGTAGGTAAGTGATAGTGTTTGCTATTTAAAAAGATCTTAGCTGGGCTGAGTGCACTGTCTCACACCTGTAATCCCAGCATGTCGGGAGGCCGAGGCGGTTGGGGATCACAAGGTCAGGAGATGGAGACCATCCTGGGTGAAACCCTGTCTCTACTAAAATACAAAAAACTAGCTGAGCATGGTGGCACACGCCTGTAGTCCTAGCTACCCAGGAAGCTGAGGCAGGAGAATTGCTTGAACCCAGGAGGCAGAGGTTGCAGTGAGCCAAGATCATGCCGCTGCACTCCAGCCTGGCAACAGAGCAAGACTCTATCTTAAAAAAAAAAAAAAAAAAAAAAAAGTTCTTAGTCTGGGAGGAGAGCTGCAGAATAATTTTAAGAAAGTGTCAAGAAGGAAAGCATTTAAGTAGAAACCAGTGAAATTTAGATTCTGATAAGATTCCCCTGTTGCCGGGCGCGGTGACTCAAGCCTGTAATCCCAGCACTTTGGGAGGCCGAGGTGGGTGGATCACGAAGTCAAGAGATCCAGACCATCCTGGTCAACATGGTGAAACCCCGTCTCTACTAAAATACAAAAAAAAATTAGCTGGGCATGGTGGCACGTGCCTGTAATCCCAGCTACTAGGAGGCTGAGGCGGGAGAATTGCCTGAACCCAGGAGGCGGAGGTTGCGGTGAGCCGAGATCGCGCCATTGCACTCCAGCCTGGGTAACAAGAGCGAAACTCCGTCTCAAAAAAAAAAAAAAAAGATTCCCCTGTTAAACAGCAGTTGGGATTAGGACATCCCAGAATCTACCATGAGTAGAATCTCATAAGATTAAACCCACGGTTTTAGGGGAAAAAAAATCACATTGATTCTCTCATTTGGTAATAAAAACACATTGCAGAAAGAGACGTGGCTGCTTCAAGCCACTCACGTGAATGCCCAGTTTTGCTGTCACAGCAGCAGCTGAGGAATAAACCTCGAGGCCAGTGCTCTGTGTTTAGAGCAAACAAAAGCTGTTGAGGACGGAAGGGATCTTTCTGGGGTAAGGCCATGTCTTGAGAGATGACACAGGACCGCTGTTCTGGCAGCGGAGCTTCAAGACGGCTTGGAAGTTCGGATTCTGGCTGCGGTTGCAGGTTGCTGTGTCCACTGTGGCTCTGCAGCTGGTTGGACCAAGTGGAAGAGAATGCTGGTCCACAGATAGGAGGGAGATGTTCTCCCTGTTCTCCTTTCACTCCGTATAAAATAGAGCTGTGAACATTCATTGTTTCAAATGAGAGCCTAGAACTGAGTGAAACCTTTGCAGCTGCTCCTGACAGTAGAGTTCCGTTAGTGTCAAGTGGGTTTCCAGGTGCCTGTCAGTTGGAAACAGTCCCCTGTTGGCATCAGAGGGAGCACGTGCGAGCGTTAACAGTAGCAGTGTTGGTGCGGTAGGTTGATGGGACTAGTTCTTAGGTCGCTCAGCACAGGAACTTTAATTTGTAAATACTTAACTTAAAATACATTGATCAATGTTTTCATCATCTCCTTTTTTTTTATTTTTTGGAGACTGTCTTGCTCTGTCGCCGAGGCTAGAGTGTCGTGGCTTGAACAAGGCTCACTGCTGCAGCCTCAACCTCCCTGGCTCAAGCAATCCTCCCACCTCAGCCTCCCAAGTAGTTGGCACTACAGGCATGCATCACCATGCTTGGCTTTTTATTTATTTATTTATTTTTCCAGTGATGGTGTATCACTGTGTTGCCCAGGCTGGTCTCAAAACCCTGAACTCAAGTGACCCTTCTGGATCCCGAAGTGCTGGAATTACGGGTGTGAGCCACTGTACCTGGCCAATGTTTTCTTCTTTTATCTGAATATCAGAAAGATTTCCAAGGACAAAAACAATATAGGTCTGCAGAAATGTGTGGGTGAAACCCCCGAGTTCTCCCAAGAGTTCTCTCCTTGGGTTTAATTTTTCCTTTGATTGGCTAAACTTACCTGTTTGTTCATGAGGGTGGTGCTGAGAAGAAGAAAGACTGATAGAAAGAAAATAACTTTCCTAAGGATACAGCACTTGAATTTTTGCCTTAAGAGTCCATGTTAACTATTCAAGTTTGTATTTACTATACATTTTTTATTTTTATTTTTATTTATTTATTTTTTTTGAGGCGGAGTTTCGCTCTTGTTACCCAGGCTGGAGTGCAATGGCGCGACCTCGGCTCACCGCAGCCTCCGCCTCCTGGATTCAAGCAATTCTCCTGCCTCAGCCTCCTGAGTAGCTGGGATTACAGGCACGCGCCGCCATGCCCAGCTAATTTTTAGTATTTTTAGTAGAGACGGGGTTTCACCACATTGACCAGGATGGTCTCGATATCTTGACCTCGTGATTCACCTGCCTCAGCCTCCCAAAGTGCTGGGATTACAGGCTTGAGCCACCGCGCCCGGCTTATACATTTTTTAAAAACAGCAACCAAAAAAACGCTGATGAAGGTTTTTGCCCCTTTGATTTCTGCGAGAGGTTTGTTGGCAATTCTGTCTGTTGTTGACAGTTTTGGAATCCAGTCTTGTCACTTGTGAAGCTGCGTTCAGTTTCCTTGGAGCTTTCATTCCAGGCGTAGTGACAGCTCCAGTTCCAAAGGGGGCGCTGTCTTGCTGGTGGCACTTGATCAGACCTTAAGCCAGTCACAAGACATAAGACCTATGAAGTGGTGAGAGAAAAGGCATTTAGGTGAACATAGTTATTTTCCAGTGCTTTTCAGAAAAGTATTGTGTCACTTACTTATAAGTAGAGACAGTCTTGCTTCGTTGCCCAGACTAGACTACAGGATTACAATCATAGCTCACTGCAGCCTCGAACTCATGGACACAAGTGATCTTCCCACCTTAACCCCCTGAGTTCCTGGGACTACGGGTGTGTGCTACCATGTCTGCCTAATTTTCTTATTTCGTAGAGACAGGGTCTTGCTGTGTTTCCCAGGCTGGTCTTGACCTCAGGCAGCCCTTCCACCTCGGCCTTCCAAAGTGCTGGGATTACAGGCGTGAGCCACTACACCCAGCCTATTTTGCAGCTTTTATAACTATTCTTAACACTCTTTCGTCAGAGAAAAATGGAAGAATGGGTTTTAAACTTTTGTATTCCTTTTGAAATTTAAAATGAACATGTACGGGATGTATGGCATGCAGTTTTGCTTTCTTTTTTTTTTTTTTTTGAGATAGGGTCTTACTGTGTTGCCCAGGCTGAAGTGCGGTGGTGCTGTCATAGCTCACTACAGTCTTGACCTCCCAGGATCAAGCAATCCTCCTGCCTCAGCCTCCTGAGTTGCTGGGACTGCAGATGTGCACCACCACACCTGGCTGATTTTTGTATTTTTTGTAGAAATGAGATCTCACTGTTACTCAGGCTGGTCTCAGATTCCTGGGCTCAAGTGATCCCCCCACCCTGGCCTCTCAAAGTCTTGGGAGTACAAGCATGGGCCACCGCATCTGGCCAGTTTTTGTTTCTTATTTGAAGAGTTGGCTCTTCCCGGATCTAGGAAATGTTGAAAATCTGTGGGTCTGGTAGCGTGTGACACCAGTGGTCAGGTTCCACACTGTCCCTGCCTATGTGGCGTGGGTCTGTGGCAGCGATGGGCCTTCTGAGTAGAGGGTCCCAGAGGAGGGAGTGGCCGTTTAGGCATATTCTGCGAGCTGACGGCTCAGCCAGGGCTCTCGCTCTGGCTGACCCCCAGAGCTCTCGGAGCAGCTCCTCAAGGACAGGTGTTC